GGTCGGGTGGATGGGTGTGAGGAGCTTCAGAGAGATGGCACGTCGGGGTAGGGTGGACTGTGAAGGAAAGGAGGGTCAGGTGGATGGGTGTGAGAAGCTTCAGAGATGTCAGGGTAGGGGCAGGGTGGACTGTGAAAAGGAGGGGGTCAGGTGGATGGGTGTGGTGAGCTTCAGAGAGATGGCACAGCGGGGTAGGGTGGACTGTGATGGAGGGGTCAGGTGGATGGGTGTGAGAAGCTTCAGAGAGATGGCAGGGGGTAGGGTGGACTGTGAAGAGGAGGAGGCGGTGGATGGGCGTGGGTGTGAGCTTCAGAGAGATGGCACAGGGTAGGGGTAGGGGCAGACTGTGAAGGAGGGGTCAGGTGGATGGGTGTGAGAAGCTTCAGAGAGATGTCAGGAGTAGGGCAGGGTGGACTGTGAAGAGGGAGGGTCAGGTGGATGGGTGTGAGGAGCTTCAGAGAGATGGCACGTCAGGGTAGGGTGGACTGTGAAGGAGGGGTGGTGGATGGGTGTGGGAAGCTTCAGAGAGATGGTCAGGAGTGAGGGCAGGGGTGGATGGGTGGACTGTGAAGGAGGGTGGAGTTGGGAGGGGTGGATGGGTGTGAGGCGCTTCAGAGAGATGGCACGGCAGGGTAGGGTGGATTGTAAAGGAGAGGTGGTTGGGTGGATGTGTGTGGCGAGCTTCAGAGAGATGGCACGGCAGGGGTAGGTTGGATTGTGAAGGAGGGTCAGGTGGATGGGTGTGAGGAAGCTTCAGAGATATGGCAGGGGTAGGGCAGGGCAGGACTGTGAAGGAGGGGGTTGGGTGGATGGGTGTGAGAGCTTCAGAGAGATGGCAGGGGCAGGGGTAGGGTGGACTGTAAAGGAGGGTCGGGTGGATGGGTGTGAGCTTCAGAGAGATGGCACAGCAGGGTAGGGTGGATTGTGAAGGAGGGTCGGGTGGATGGGTGTGAGAAGCTTCAGAGAGATGGCATGGCAGGGCAGGGGTAGGGTGGACTGTGTAGGAGGGGGTCGGGTGGATGGGTGTGAGAAGCTTCAGAGAGATGTCAGGGGGTAGGGCAGGGTGGACTGTGAAGGAGGGGTCAGGTGGATGGGTGTGAGAAGCTTCAGAGATGGCATGGGCAGGGGTAGGTGGACTGCTGAAGGGAGGGGTGGACTGTGAAAGCTTCAGAGGGGCAGTCAGGTGGATGGGTGTGGAAGCTTCAGAGAGATGGCACGGCGGGGTAGGGTGGACTGTGAAGGAGGGAGGTGGATTGGGTGGATGGGTGTGTGAAGCTTCAGAGAGACAGGATTGGGTGGTTCAGGGACGTAGGGTGGATTGTGGATTGTGAAGGAGGGGGGTTGGGTGGATGGGTGTGAGAAGCTTCAGAGAGATGGGTGTGGGAAGCTAGGGCAGGGTGGATTGTGAAGGAGGGGTCGGGTGGATGGGTGTGAGGAAGCTTCAGAGAGATGGCAAGGGTAGGGCAGGGTGGACTGTGAAGGAGGGGTCGGGTGGATGGGTGTGAGTGAGCTTCAGAGAGATGGCACGTCGGGTAGGGTGGATTGTGAAGGAGGGTCGGGTGGATGGGTGTGAGGAGCTTCAGAGATGGCAGTCAGGGTGGGTGGACTGTGAAGGAGGGTAGGGTGGATGGGTGTGAAGAGATGGCACGTCAGGTGGATGGGGAGGGTTGGTGGAAGGGTGTCAGAGAGATGTCAGGAGTAGGGGCAGGGTGGACTGTGAAGGAGGGGTGGATGGATGGGTGTGAGAAGCTTCAGAGAGATGGCAGGGGTGGGGAAGGGTGGACTGTGAAGGAGGGGGTCGGGTGGATGGGTGTGAGGAAGCTTCAGAGAGATGGCAGATGGTAGGGGGAGGGGTGGATTGTGAAGAAGGAGGGTTGGGTGGATGGGTGTGAAGCTTCAGAGAGATGTCAGGGGTAGGGCAGGGTGGACTGTGAAGGAGGGGTCGGGTGGATGGGTGTGAGAAGCTTCAGAGAGATGGCACGTCGGGGTAGGGTGGACTGTGAAGGAGGGTCGGGTGGATGGGTGTGAGAAGCTTCAGAGAGATGGCACAGCGGGGTAGGTTGGACTGTGAAGGAGGGGGTCGGGTGGATGGGTGTGGGAAGCTTCAGAGAGATGGCAGGGTAGGGCAGGGTGGATTGTGAAGGAGGGGTTGGGTGGATGGGTGTGAGGAGCTTCAGAGAGATGGTACAGCGGGGTAGGGTGGACTCTGAAGGAGGGGGTCGGGTGGATGGACGTGGGGTTGAGCTTCAGAGAGATGTCAGGGTAGGGCAGGGTGGACTGTGAAGGAGGGGGCGGATGGAATATTATTTTCATTGAGTCTATTTTCTGATTCCCTATTACCCACGCCAGTCTCGTTCAAGGTGAAGACAAATAAAAATGTATTCAAGACGATCGCAGCTTCCTGTTCGTCCAGCCTCAATAAGCATTTGAGTATTATCGACTAATCATGAATGATTCAGTATTCACCTCGGAGCAGCGGAAGGACATTCGGAATCTCTCGGACTGAAGTGCACGGCCACAAAGGTATCATCCGGCATATCCCGGTGTGGTACGAATGTTGACGACTGAGTGATCACGCGGAGAATGGATGTTGACATTAATGACTACAGAGAGATTCTATCCATTTATTACACGCTGATTATTTTTACATGACGTATTTCCTGTGCAAGTATTTCATCAAGTTGTTAAAACTGACAGAAATATATGTTTCCCCTGCGTTGTGTGAAGTATGCACAGGTATGCACGGATTGTGTTCTGCTGTCGGCGAGTAATATATGGAGGACAACAAGTCCTTTGTTTCTTTGTTACCTGAAAATACATATTTACTTCTTCCTGTTTGGCTATCACGCCCGCTTGATCAAAATGTAAATGTTACAAAAGGATGAAATTCATGTGAAGTATTTGATTATATTCGTTTTAATGCAACCATTCAGGGATTTATGACATAAAGGCACGGAGACCGCTGTTTGAGTTATCAAGATTTATTAAGACTTCAAACAAATTTTACAGTAATAATAAGTCTGTCTAATTTGTTTGATACCAGTATGTGAAAAATGAAAAAAATATATGGCCCAGAAAATAATGCAGGTTAAATATATTTCCCCTTCTATTCATCAGAGGGTGACGCCGAGATTCGTCCTTAAACCGCAATGCGCCTTGAATCAGTTGATGCCTAATTGAGATTTGTCCTGCCTGTGGTTCCTGGGTTGTCAGCTTCTCCTGGTTTTACCAGTGCTGAAGGTCTGAAACCTGCATCACCTCGAGTTTTTCCCTCCCCACCTCCGTGTTAAAAATAGACACTGTTTAAAGCGTCGGATGGGTACAATGCGTGGAGACATTTCTGTGGAATATTGGCTAAAAGCGGCGTAAAACTAAACTCACTGTTAAGGACGGTAAACCTACTCTCACTCACTGGCGGCAGTCTGTAAATAATCATGTGTGATCTAGACTGACTAGCGTCAACCAAGTCAACGAGCCTGACCACCCGGTCTCGTTAGTCGCCTTTTACGACGAGCATGGGTTACTGAAGACCAATTCCAACCCGGACCTTCACGGGTCGATGGCAGAGTACTAGATACAGGAACCACAGGCGATATCATGATACCAAAGAGTATTTCACAACAGATCAGCCTTCTAACATTTAGTTAATGTTGATAATTTGTTTCAGGCCCGACTGTATGTGTAAAATGTCTTGCCTGTCAATGCCTGACAATCCAGATCGTGGGCGTTGGGGTCATCTTGTGATGACGTTCGGATCGGCAAGCCATCGCCAAGGTCAAGGTTAATTTTTAAACCTTCCCTATTTGTATATTTGTAACAGCTGCAGTCCCTGGAGGACATAGAGACATAGAGAGGTGCAGGGGTGGTGGATGATGGGTCGGGGATGCAGTGATGCAACACACACAACCCCCCACCCACCACCCAAACCAATCCAGAGCGTTCTTTCACTTGGAGACTTGGATAGACCGTGTGACCACTTTTTTAAAAATTGGGGACCCCTCTGAGCCTGATTCTCCGTCTAGCATTTTGTGATACTGTTCAAATATTGTTAAAAAGTGGCATAAAACCATTCTCATTCACACATGCGTCCCCTCGTATGTGTAAGTTTAAGTCCGTGGGAGGTATGGCTTATAGCGTCTTTAATACGTTGTGCAACCTATTCTGTCTTACGGTGCAGCACTTTGGGGAACTAAGGATTTAGTTGTATAAGCGCAGTACAGAACCGTGCTTGTAGATTTTTCATTGGCGTAAATAGCAAAACCCCTTATTTGGCAGTAAGGGGCGATATGGGATGGACTAGTACTTTGTCAAAACAGAGAACAGAAGTACATGTATTACGATTTTGGGATAAGCTGCACTATATGGCACCTGATAGATTGCCTTCTGTTATTAGCAGCTGGTCACGGCGTTTAGCCAAATCATGTCATCTTTATTACAATCGCTGCAACTCCCAGTGCATGACATGCTACACACGGTAGTAGTGAATTGACTTTGTCATTTCAACATATACAGTTGTTAGATCATCAGGAGTGGCTACGGGAATTGTGGAATGACCACATATAGACAGTTTAAGTAGTACACTGTTACTCCAGAACCATACATAACGTCTATACTTCTATACCGTAGCGTTCTAGGTAAACTTCCCTGTAGTACACTTCCATTAGAAATAGAACGTGGTAGATTTTCTCGTCCTGCGACGCCACTTGCAGACAGGCTTTGTCGTCACTGTAGTAGTCAGGCTGTCGAAGACGAAGTCCATTTCTTAGTTAGCTGTCCTTATTATTCTGATCTTCGGTATGATCTGTTTAGAAAATCTAGTATCTTATACCCTAATATTGCTCAGTTATCAAACACTGAACAAGCTACACTCCTCTTACAAACAGAAAATATTGTTAATCCACTGGCCGCTTTAGTTAGCCGTATGTATCGGCGTAAGCTATCATCCCAATAACTTTTTTTTTTCTTCTTTTTCCCTAGTTCTTTCATATGTGTGATACTCCTTAATGTTTTAATCTATATTTTATACATTTTATGCACATATTGTCTAGTGTGTCTCATTTGCCATCTGGCCTGGTGTTAGTATATTTTTATGTTATTTTACCACTTCCATTTTTGACATGTACATTCACGTGACACATAAATAAACTATTTTGTCTGTCTGTCTGTCTGTCTGTATATTTGTAACAGCTGCAGCTGCAGTCCCTGGAAGTCATAGAGAGGTGCAGGGGTGGTGGTTGATGGGTCGGGGATGCAGTGATGCACCCCCCACCCCAACACAAAAACCAAAACAAAAACAAAACAAAACAAAAACCCCAAACAAAACAAAAACAAAAAACAAAACAAAAACAACAACAAACAAACAAACAAACAAACATAAAACAACGAACAATACAGAGCGTTCTTTCACTTGGAGACTTGGGTAGACCGTGTGACCACTTTTTTAAAAATTGGGGAGCCCTCCGAGCCTGATTCTCCGTCTAGCATTTTGTGATACTGCTAAAATATTGTTAAAAAGTGGCATAAAACCATTCTCTCGTACTGTATCGTAGAGTAATCAACCTCCTGCTCTAGGGGGGTCGGGTGGATCACCCTAAGTGAGGTGTTTAATAACATCATCAAGTTTATTAGGTCTATAAAAGTCTTATAAGATCAAAAACCAATTACAAGTCACAAGAATGATTTATTGCGTACAATGTTAGGTTTGCTTTTATTGCAGCTTGCTCAACTTCAGCTCAAGGATGCGTCTGACACCAGCTAGAGACAAGGGCTGTAAATAAAGGGGTTGGTTTAAACGGCTTACACTGTTATTAAGGGGGATACGTGTGCACGGCCGCGACTTATATATCAATCATCCGAGGCAGGGCTAACAAACGGATTACTGGTTGGCGTAATGAAACAGATTATCAGTTTATCAATACATATGCATTGCCTGATCGAGACGCAGACAATGTCATCTTTAAAGATATTAAGTCTCATAATGAGGTAATTCCATATCAAAACGACCGAGATAACGCCATATTGCAAAGGTATCGCCAATACCGGGTAATGGAGGTCTCTAAACGTCGTCCTTCGCTACAGGTGACTTTTCGATTCGCGTGACATCTTTTCAAAAGGGGGAGCAAAACTGGCCAGGGCTGATAGACGCGGTTCGCCAACTCTTCTTTGATGTCACCGCCCTCCGTGGCCATAGGGTGAAGGCAATTAACGTCTATGTGGACCGGTGATGAATGAGACTGTCACCCGTACAATAGTGACCGTGGATACAGTTTGCTATGGTAGCTGTCAGGTGACACTTAGACTGGTTTACTGTCGCAGCGAGAGGCGGGTAGGACTCTCACGTCATGTGGAAAACATTATCATGTGGAAATCGAAATTTTGGAGAAATTCCTCAAGCGGACTGATAAGTGTTGTATGACTCGATTTGGTTTCTTTTGCATCAGTAGCTGTTCGGAATCAGGTATCACGATATAAAGATGAATACATCGTTATCTCCCTGTCAACGTGTAGGTGTATGTGTCTGTGTGTACTTTTAGGTTTAGATGAGTATAGCTGTACGGCGTTTGCGTATCGGAATGCGCAGGAATTAGGAACGCGTGCGAGTGCAAATGCGTTTGCGTGCATGCGTACTTGAGCCTTAACGTATTTGATTGACAACGCCGATGAGTGAGTGAGTTTAGTTTTACGCCGCATTCAGCAATATTCCAGCTATGTGGCGATGGTCTGTTAATAATTGAGTCTGGACCAGACAATCCAGTGATCAACAGCATGAGCATCGAACGATGACGATAGTGTTGGTAGTGGTGGTCATGATGATGGTTTAACGAGTACTGGTGGTGGTGGTGTTGATGATGAGCGGGCGCGCGAGTTTAGTTTTACGCCGCACTCAGCAATATTCTAGCTATATGACAGTGGTGGTGGTGGTGATGATGATGATGATGATGATGATGATGATGATGATGATGATGATGATGATGAAGACTTATGGAAGACTTAATTTATGCGAAATGTGCAGGTACGAGATCATGTACGTATATGCGTACGAGTACGAATGCTTCTACGCATTTCGAATCCGAAACGAATAAATATAACTCTGGTTGAGAATTGTGAAAACATGCACTTTTTGTTGGTGACCTTCGCCCGTGAAACTGCCTCCCCGAACAAAACTATTTTAACATTGCCTTTTGAATTTCTATATCCGTATTCAAGAACCAACTTAAAAACTTTATTCCGCGATATGTGTAGGTATTAAAGCGGCCGTGTAAATTTTATGAGAATACTTTAGATGCTATCTAATTCTGGTCTTTTATAAAACAGGGCGTATTTCATATTGCCATGATTATATTGTGTTGTAAGCAGAGTCAATGGACTAGCTCATGTACGTCGACCAGACCCGCCTACAGCATTGTTGCGGTTGAGACGGACTGTCTGAATCCTGATTCAAAACAACGGGCATTTGTTCCCTAGGTAGACGTCTTTCGAAAATTATGGAACAAATATAAACAGAACACTGAACTTGACTTCAGTTAGGTCAACCATGGCGCATCGTGTCAATCACTTGTCACGGCATTGCTATGGCGACCATGTCAAATGTATAAACATCTAACTTCAGCCATGGGTCAAGATGACCTTCACAATTCCGCCATTCCGTGAACTCGGGTTAAGTGGTGTGAATATGACAATTGTTTATCTTAATGCAATGCGAAAACATGTACCTGTCCAAATGACCATTCCGAAATCGCTTAATGGCTACTTAATAGAATATGAACCCATTAATCAAGTCACAAGGACAGGCGACATGTTTGTGACCCGGATGAAGAATGCTTCCTGTAACCCTGTGCATGCTGCAGTCGACTTTGGACGACTTCATGTGCGATTTTACTCACTCCGATATTTTCGTGAATCTTTGTAAATCATGTCATATACTCGACCTAAAGGGGAGCTGCACTAGCTAAATGACCAGTGGTCAAGACACAAAAGACGTGTATTCGTCCTGACAACAGACACATTGTTTTATAACTATGGCGTCTGCAAAGATTCTTGTTCAGAATCCTATTCTTTTCTTGTTCTTGATTCTAGTAAGAGTCGACCGCAGTGTAGAGTAGGTGTAGTGAGTGAGTGATTGAGGAGTGACATCAACATTCTAGCAAAATCACGGCGGGGGTCATTAGAAAAGGGCGTCACATTTCGATACCGGATCTTCATTTAGGAATTTACCTCACGCATCCTTAACTTATGCTCGTCATTGTATGGTTGAAAAATACGTATGTTTGGATATGTGTTATCAAAACAGGGCTGAAAACGAGTTGATGTTGTTTTATGTCGCTTTCAGCAAAATTACAACAATATCACAGCGGTGGACACCACAAATGGGCTTTATACGTTGTACCAATATGGGAATCGAACCCAGGTTTTCGGCGAGAGACATGCTTTACCCACTAGACTACCCCGCATAAAACACGAAATGTTCGTCCACGGTATTTATTTTGAAAATAGAATGGAGGCATAGTACACTTGACTTGAAGCCGGGTCAGCCCTACCTCCCTGGGCATCCGGGATGCCATTTAGAGCGCCTTGGCGTCCCGTTTAAGGACATACGAGACAAATGAGTTTCCACAGCAAGCACAAGTGAATTAGACTCAGTCTGAGATTTCCACATTGCATACATGACCAACCATGCTCATAAAACTAGGGAATAGAACATTAATTTTAGCATTGAAATTTTGATATCCGGTCATCAGTGGCTTCCGGCGCAATCCACGGGCTGGACTCTTGAAGATCCGGGTTATAACTGATCTTCAGCAACCCATGCTTGTCGTTAGAGGCGGGATCGGGTGGTCGGGCTTGCTAGTGTGGTTGATGGTTCGACTATTTTGAACATTACGGCGTTAAACAACTAGGGACTGACTGAGTTTGGTTTTACGCCGCTTTTAGCAACATTCCAGCAACATCACGGCTGGGGGACACCAGAAATGGGCTTCACACATTGTATCCATGTTGGGATTCGAACCCGTGTCTTCGGCGTGATGAGTCAACGCTTTAACTACTAGGCTACCCTACCGTCCCTAAACAACCAAGGAACAAAACTCTTAACAGGCTCTAAATCTTGCGGATCAAAGGGCTTGCACCCTCGGTGAAGTCTTCCACTACTGATCTGCATAAATGGATGTGTGGCGGAGGTGTAAGAGAAATTAGCATGAAAGAACCCTTATTGGTATGATACGGAAAATTGCGGAGGGCGATGAATGAGTGAGTCAGTGAGTCTGGTTTTACGCCGCTTTTAGCAATGTTCAAGCAATATCACGGCAGGGGACACCAGAATGGGCTTCACACATTGTACCCATGTGAGGAATCGAACCCAGGTCTTCGGCGTGACGAGCGAACGCCTTAACCACTAGGCTACTCCACCGTCCCCGAAGGGCGATGAATGATCTACTGTGCGGCCAAAACAGGGGAACTGATTCATGCCATAAAACAGGCATAAACAACAACAGCAACAACAACAACAACAACAACAACAACAACGACAACAACAACAACAACAACAAACAAGAATGCATCGATTCAGTGCCTCAAACGTACCCCGCCCCAAAATTTCATATACCCAAAAAACTTAAAGTAAAACAATGTAGCCATGGGTTTAAAAAAAAGTAAACTAGTGCCCAAAAGAAACTATACACCGCAAAACATTACTTAAAAATTCACAAAATTGTAAATGACGTGATAAAACCATACTGAGCCATGTCACACACGTACAGACCAATCCTTTCCGGGAACAAACGGCGAACCAAGTTAACGAATTGCCTAAACGTCGTAAAAATGATCCAAAACGACTTTTTCTTATGTAACGCGAAATGCACGTGCATACTTACAGAACAAAACAGCCTAAGCGACACATGTGCAGCACAGTAGGTAAATAGAACACAAAAAGTATGCCACATATGAGGCAAATCGAAAACGAGAGAACTGTCGGAATGGCCCAACAAGGAGCTAACCACAACTGTCATCAGTACACACTGTGTACTTTCTTTTGAACACTAGTATACAAACTGGTAGTTATTAAGAAATAAAACGACCATAAAAATGGTATGACTAATATATCATATACAATTAACTACTGTGAAAGAAAACACTGAATATTTATAGTCTAAGAAAATGTATTGTTGACAATAAATAGCACTATATTACATCGTGCGCACATTTTAGTATCTCGTGTGCACGATATAAAAAAAAATAAAATTCTCCTACTCATGTCCCTTCAGCGCTTCCGTAGGTTACAGAAATATAGGGAACAAACAATGAAAATATGAAGTTAAATCTTGTCATTAAGTGGTTGTATCTGTGACAGTGTCATCATATTGTTAGTGAGATTTTTATTATATTTAAATGGGGGCGATGGGGTAGCCTTGTAATTAAAGCGTCCGCTCGTCACGCCGAAGACCCACTTTCAATTCCCCACATGGGTGCAAAGTGTGAAGCCCGTTTCTGGTGTCCCCGTCGTGATGTTACTTGAATATTGCTAAAAGCGGCGTAAAACCTAACTCACTCACTCATATTGAAATGGGTGCACATATGTGATAGAAGGAGCATGTGATGAATATGATATTTTTTACGAAGTGGAAATTTTCTGTTTGGAAAGATAGAAGATGTCATGAGACATGTTCTGAATAATAATTATATAATTTCACAGGAGCAATAAATTGCACCACGAAGCAGAATGTGACCTTGTTTGATACTTAGTTGGGGCGGTGGGGTAGCCTAGTGGTTAAAGCGTTGGCTCGTCACGCCATAGACCCGTGTTCGAATCCCCACATGGGTACAATGTGTGAAGCCCATTTCTGGTGTCCCCCGCCGTGATGTTGCTGGACTATTGCTAAAAGCGGCGTAAAACCAAACTCAGTCAGTCAGTCAGTTGATACTTAGTTAAACACGTCCAAAAGAAGCAAATCATTAAGATATTCAATTTTATGGATAATCTCTTCTTTACAGATATAGCAATGATTCGATGTAAATTCTTTCAGCTGTCGTGACCTCAAACAACTGAATAATGTACGTAGTAATAATGTACCGAACTGGAAAGTAATTTCTGACTAACTGACACATTTGAAAGGATTTAACATATTTTGATTCTGCATCATAGATCGTCGGAAATACCTAAAAACCGATCCCCGACTGCGTCATACCAAAAGACGTTAAAATATGGTACTTGTTGGTCCCTGCCTGGTGCTCGGCATTAATGGGTACAACAAGGACTGGTCGGCTCGGAGTCAGTATAATGTGTCTGAGTGGGGTATTCATGCTTCACTGCGGCATGGTATCTCAGTGGGCTAGCTCTATAAAACCAGCTTAAGTCTGGGCTAGTACAAGCAGCCGCACATACACATACACACGCATGCACGTCGTCATATGAGCGAAATATTCTCCAGCACGACGTTAAACCCAATTTCACCTCACCTCACCTCACCATCCAGCGAACAGAACTCACCTGGTCCCAGTTGGATGCAACATACACTTACAGTCCTCAGCCAGGGCCATCCTTCAGTTCCGACAAGTGCTCGGTTGATACTGCTGGACCAACATACTTCAACCTTTCAGTCGATATTCGTCTATTGACATTATGCAGTACAAACCTCAATCGTTATTGTTTCGGATGGTATGGATATGTAAACTTTCAATGTTTATTTCTGTGGTTAATAATGTTAGCCTCTGTGTAAAGGCTTTTACTGTTGACAAGTTTACTATTTAGTGATACTAAAAGATTTATGAAGGTAAAAAGATCGCAATATCTTATTTTGATTTAGAAATTAATGATGTCTAGCGTCTGACTTCGAGAAACAATCTGAGAGAAAGATTGCTTAGTTTTGCCATGTAACTTTGTTTTGGGAACTTTGGGTATTTGTGTTCCTTCTGACAGATTTGTGAAATAAAATCATGACACCTCAATGATTTTCATTTTGTATTAACACTATTGGCAAATAACTTGTTTGAGTGGCATTTTAGAAGTTGAGACGTACAATATAGAACAATTTGTTATGGATAACAACTTCTTTATTTCGTGAGTGCGACGTAGCGATACAGATTCTTGTACCGTTGTCAAGCAGGAGTGAGACATGAAGTGGAGGAGATGTGTGTGTGTGTGTGCATATATATATACGGTTGATGGTGGGCTAGTCTGTCTCACAGTCCCTGAACCACATTAATTTCCCTACAGCCTAGCCTTCCCTGTAGTGCTAAAGCCCTAAATAAAGCAAGTCTAGATTTCCTCAGGTTCTGAATCTCTGGTCTCCCTAGGGCTCCTTTTCAATATAAATGGGCTTGTTTGTTACAAAATTATATATATTCAGAGACTAAGCTTTAGTCTAATGGTGGGCTTATGGCGTTTGATGTGAATGGCTTCGGTGAGTGAGCTTGCGTTTAGTGAAGTCCGTTTGGTTGTTGGCTAGAATGGTGATGTCAGACCACTCTATTTGATACTTATGGTTAGCTTTGATGTGGTCAGAGATGGCTGATTTGCTGTCGGAATTACTAACGGAGGTGCGATGTTCTTTGACTCGGGGGTTGATGGGTCGCGATGTTTCACCTATGTAGCTTTGTCCACAATCACAGTTTATTTTATTATTAAACATTTCGGGTTGTTGCTGATGACGGTGGGTTGTTTTCTTCCGTTGGCGTGGAGGAGGTTGTTGAGGCTGGAGGACGCTGAGAAGGTTGTGTCTATACCTGCTTGTTGTTTCAGGAGTCACCATACTAGCTAACAACCAAACGGACTTCACTAAACGCAAGCTCACCGAAGACATTCACATCAAACGAATGAATGAATGGTTTATTCTCCCGAAGATCACAACAGTGACATAGAGAAAACTTACAAATGTACAAAATTTGTTTATGGGAACATACGTAGTCCGGCTTTCACATAGCTGCTTACAGTAGTGCTTTATGCATACAAGACATTAGGGATATAAATTTATCTAATGATGGATAATTACAATAAAAGTTTGCTAGAAATGAATTTCTTACTTTTCTTAAATATGAACAATATAACAAACAGTGAAATTCATCTCCTATTGTATTCTTACACAATGTACATACTCTTTCTTCTTTAATAATATTATACCATCTGCCTGTTTCTTTTGGGAGTTTATGGTTACAAGTTCTAATATAGGTAAGCCAAATGCGAACATTTAATGGAAGGTGTAATGGATAACTTTCAAGATATGGAGATAACTTAAGCACATTATAATAGTGCCCTTTAGTAGATGTTGATTTACATACGTTCCATTAAAGGCAAGAAATTTAATGTCAACTTCTTTATCGTGAAGGGTCACGACGTTTCAAAGTATGTCTTTACTCCTTCATCAGGTGAATGAAACAATTAGGAGCAGACAGCTATATATGGAAGAGAAGAAGAAGAAGAAGAAATATAGTTTATTAATGTGTCACATGCTGCAGAACATTAAAAGGGACGGTACATTATTGCGAGAGTTTAAAAGCAGCATCCGGCCATAAGGCCTATGAGACACAAATATCACAGTTGTATAAAACATTAGTAATAAAATCACACCCACACATACACACACGCAGGCAGAACTGTATACACAAACACAAAACGCATACATCTTCACACACCCACACGCACGCACACATACACATACACACACACACACACACGAGCGCACGAGCCTACAGACAGACACCTACGACAGACAGACCCACATACACGCGCACGCACGCACGCACACACACTTACACTTTCTTACCTAAAATGCATAAATTACATAAATAACATAATTATAAGTACATTGTAGAGTTACCTATTCTACAGAAATATTCCGGCGCCTAAACATAGTATGGACGAGTGCGGCAAGGGGCTTTACGAACTGGTTATTTGTAAGTAAGAATACCATTTTATCTACTGCTGACATAGATGAGAATGTAGGATGGACACTGGTTGCACACTCCGGCACAGCGATGACTAACATAACATCACTGCCACAGGCTAATTTGCATATCACGTGACCGGACTGTTCTCTTGCTTGTAAACAAACGCGCATATTCATAATAAGAAGAGGCTGGACTCACGAAAGCTTTTCGGCGCTCTCTTCATATTGTTTTGCATTGTTACATATATATTCTTCCACAACTGCGACAGTAAGGTCTATGACAGTACATATTTAGACATCAAACTGGCTGCATCGTTTGCTCTCCATCAGCTTCGATGACAGCACGTGGAGCCGTACAATCTATGTAAACAAAGAATCGCTACGCAAATCGAAATAGTGTTACATGTTTTTGGATATTTTCTCAGTGAAACTAAACCATTCTATTAAAGATGTTTAGTTAGATGTGTAGACTCGTCAAAAATAAAAGAGTAAAAGAAATCTGTACATTATATTGAATGGACATTACAAGATGTGACGAATCGTCACATTTCTCTGGCCTGTGGCAGAGGTACTATGCTGGCTTGCCGCATGGAACTCTGGGTAGGAGAGTACTATATATATACATGTTAAAACAACAACAGTTATAAGATAACGAGGGAAACCAGTAGTTAATTGGTAGATGGAAGCCAGGGATTGTTAATCCAGGCATGATTTAGGTAACAAAGGTGGCAATTTAACCAAGGGATAAGAAGACCAATCTACCAATTAACTATCACAAATAATGTTTACACAATAATCAATATTTTCTGCGGTTACATTTTCAATGTCTTTACAGATAACATCAATCTGTTATTGAAATAACTCTCTCTGTACATATCTATACCCTTTGTCTGCCTCTTGTTGAACCTTTTTTGTAATATACACTTGTAACTATGTGGAGAGGGCTTATTTAAGTTGGATAACTTGTGCCCAATCCGTTTCTTAATTGAATAAAATATGTTTCAATCAATCAATCTGTGTAACGTCAATACTGTGTTCAAATGCCTCTGACAAAGTAGGATTATACTTGTTGGCTGCGATGTTTTCTGTGCATGATTCCTTATCAGCACCACTCGTTTGTTGAGAGACTGGTAACTTATCCGAGACCAGTGAAACCGAGATGCTGCAATGTACATCAGATAGAATAGGGTCAAAGTCACTTATTTAAAAAAATTGAACAAGCGAAAAGTGTCCGCCAACGCTAAACAGTAATCGACAACACTTGCATCTTTACAAGTCAGTTTGCCAGTATTTTTGTCAAAGTCCAATCTTCCGTTGGCAATTACAGACCGGTATTCTTACATAAGTTTATCAGTTTCTTACCGTAGTTGTTCACAGATTTGTCCATTAAAGGTCGGTTAACTTGTATACCATTCTTCTCAAGCACCTCAACATTGGAATAAAGGCATTCACTGTCAATCTGGTCATTTTCAGATAGGAAAACGTCTATTATGACATACTCTGAAAGGGATTTGGTTCTTGCATTAAAATCACCTTAACACATAAATACTGTGATTGGTTGAGTATTTGATTATTTCATCTTCGACCTGACTAAAGTGTTCTATGGACGAGTATCTACTGTTCTCGGGCGGTATATATGTTACAGTCAGATTGTGAAATCAGTCATTTCGTGAAATAACCAAGAGCATCAGCCATTCAACTATCCCTACTGCTCGTTCTCTTTCTTCCTGGGTTAACCTTGGCATTCTCTCTGTGTGACTTTATGCGTAGTGATATTGCAGTGTTGGACAGGCCATTTATACTGATTTTTCGCACGATCTTTCCCATGTATCCGACTAAGACACGTGTTTCGTGTTTCTGAGAGTCGGGGCAACAAAATGCTTTTTGACGATTTGTTTCATGCATCACGGACATTGGCAAATCGTTATCAAGCACATTTACATCAAATTTGATGGAAACGTCCAAACCTATTTACATAGCCAATAGCGAAATGGCTGATCCTCTTAGTCATTTCACGAAATGACTGATTTCACAATCTGACTGTAACATATACACACAACCCAGATAGAGGTCGTTTGTGAGTTTAAACAGGTATTGTGATAGTTTACACCACAATACGATGTCCTGAGTCTTATGAATAAGGGGCGGTGGGGTAGCCTAGTGGTCAAAGCGTTCGCTCGTCACGCCGAAGACCAGGGTTCGATTCTCCACATGGGTACAATGTATGAAGACCAATTCTGGTGTCCCCCCGCCGTGATATTGCTGGAATATTGCTAAAAGCGGCGTAAAACCATACTCACTCACTCACTCTTATGAATAATATTTATAAATGGGCTAAGTGTTTCTTTATACGCGATGATAATTCCTCCAGAAACTCTCACATGAAGTTTGTTACTTCTATTATTCATATGAACAATGTAACCTGGGATGTTAACGACATCTAACTCACATGTTTTTGTCTCTGTCATAGAGTAAACCATTTCAATAAGTTTCTGTAAAACTTCATATATTCAAACAACACAAGTGTTTCAATATATATCCAAAGTGCACCGAAATTCTATCCCCCTTTGTCAGTTGAATGTATTCAGCAATCATTCGGTGTAGCCCTCTTATCCTGAACTACCATCCTGAACTACCATCCGTGAGTACCCCGACGAACGCTCTTGGACATCTCCGTGAAATACAACACATCGTACGCTGTTATTTCGTTGAGAACAATTCCCCACATGGGTTCACTGTGTGAAGCCCATTTCTGGTGTCCCCCGCCGTGATATTGCTGGAATATAGCTGAAAGCGGCGTAAATCTAAACTCACTCACTCACTCACTCGTTGAGAAAAATCTGGATTTTGAAGCCGAGACTGCAACCCACACACATTAGGTGACAAGATTCTTAACTGGTGATGCTCAGAGGGTTGACCTGCGTACGTACGTACGTGTGTGGTAACGTACGGTAACGTACGCTCTCTGTGCCTCTATTCGTTCACAGGTGTCACTGACATCATCGTTCTTGTCCTCAATTCCTTAAAGGTGTCTTCTCTCCATAAGCCCACCATCAACCGAGACCAAGGATACTTCATTCCATGCGCTTATGAAGCACTCCTCCACCAAGCCCAATCTATTGTATAAACATCTCCTTTATTTTAATTACTCCTTTATTTGTACATCTCTGGTTTCTACGCCCTACCCTTTGTCTACTCACTTGCGTCATCAGCTTACTGCTTAACCAGTTATGGTAATTATGTTGTTTGTACTGGTCTTCGATAATAATAAATAAATAATAATAATGAACTCAGGTCTTCTGATAGTAGTTTCCCATGCAGAAAACATGTTCAAAGAGATGACAAGTAGGTGGCAAGGTCATTTCTCAGTGTTACAGCGCTCGGTTCTGCTTTGTCAACATTCGCACCGATGTTGACGCCACCATCCTGCTCGAAGGCATCATCCATCTTGTCAATGCGCAGCTCACAAATATTGTGCAAGACAACACAAGCACACACTACAGTGCTTGCAAAATCCACTGATACACCCAGTCTTTTCAGTAAGCATCGCCAACGTCCTTTCAAACGTCCGAATGAGTTCTCAATTGTCACCCTGGCACGACTCAATCTGAAGTTGAAATCTTTCTGTGAAGATGATAAGGTTGCGTTATTGGGATATGGTTTTAACAACCATGTCTTCAACGGGTAATCAGCATCTCCAATAAGGACAATGGGCATGGTGACTGCTTTGCCCTGGTTTGTAAGAGTCTTGGTCCATTCTGGTAAGAGATTCTTTGTTTCACCTCGATAGAAAAGTTCTGAACTTCCAAATACTCAAGCGTCATGTGCCCGGCCAGGCCAACCAATTGTGATATCTGTGTACAGGTATCTGTAGTCACATACATAATGGAATACCATCCCCTGCGATTCAAACAGTCGCCATGGGCTTCTCTTGGACCAAGAATAGAGATATGAGTGCCATCTATACACCCAGCACAATTTGGGAATCCCCAGTAGTTTTCAAATCCATCAGTGATAGTTTTCAAGTCCTCGCGTTCTGGAAACTTGACATACTTGGGCAGGAGATGCTCCACCAAAGCGGTGCACACATCTTTGACACAAATGCGTACAGTGGCTTTGGATACTCCAAACAAATTACCGACTGTTCTGTAGTCTGTCGAAGTTGCTAGCCGGTATACAACTATGGCAACTTTGTGGTCAGCATCAAGACGCTCCCTCACAGGAGTTGAGTCTTTATGCAGAAAGGGGTGAAGTTCTTCACAGTGAAGGTCAAATGTAGCTTTAGACATTTAAAATTTGCAACCCATTTATTATCTGAAAATGCCATTTTAACAGTGTTTTGCCACCAATGACTTGATATCTCTTTCTTCCAAACATTTCTGAGTTTTGATAAAGCCAAAATAAGTGCAGAGTTCAGAAGCATAAGAAAAGCTTAATTCTTTCGCTTCAATATATATCTCTCCATCATGTATGATGCTTGCCTCCGATGTGAAAAACTCAAAATGAGACAAAAACATATTACCATATCATAAAATACATATAGGTTCTAATTCTTCATGTAAAAGTCAAAGTAAATATACTTTTCCTCACGTATGCAAATGTACTCCATATGCAAATATACACACTTGAGTAAAAGTGCCCATGTAAACGGGGTATTAGAGACTTGTGCCAGTCTAGAATATCAGCACCAGAGGTTGTTATTTGAACCCAGGTTCAAGTGTATCATTATGCTCAACTATATGAAACTAATTCGGGAAGTCTCCACTGTAAGCCACTTTGTAATCTGTGCAACAGGATGCGCTATATTTACAGCATATCAACGTAAATAGGTCAAGGATTCTCATCTCCGAGCATGCAGCACAACTCACACTTATTTCCACGATATATATAATGGTTGCAAATGGACACTGTCCGTTAGTGGTGTCAAAAGTTCATCCGTGAACTTGTAACAAGAACGTATTCTATCTAAATGCCTGCCTCCACACTAAATATAACAGTCTTCACATACTATCTTCCTGATGACATGCCCTAACACGCCCAGGGCTATCATTTGATTGGCTCCGTGAGATTTAATTAATTTGCTGCGGGATAGGTTTTATACTGTGCGGGACTGAAATTATTCTTCCTGACACGTCTGATTGATTGAAACATTAAATAAACACTGCGCATATCAGACGTGGTGGGCTGTGATGCCGGGATATTTTCTGATACTTTATTTCAAATTGATCTGGTGTTCCCTGCTCCGTGTTTTCATGTGAAATTGGCTTCATCGAGAGATGGCGCCCGGAATTATCAAGTCAGCCATCTTTTATCATGCGGTCAATCAACGACTAGATAGCTGTTGGATACAGAATATACTTCGCAATTAGGTGAAAAGTGTTGGGAATGATTGCCATATTTCAAGAATTATAATCCCGTGCTATTGACGCTGAAGGGGTCGTTGTCGGCACGGGTACTACAGATGTGTACCCCAGGTACGTTTCTGTAGACAGAAAAGTACCCAAGACAAAATCTCAATACAGAAATACACCCAAGGACGGGTCCATTCAGCAATGTCCTGTTTTCTTGGTCGGAACTGCCGTACTGTATTAGATACATTTGATACATTATATAAGAAACGAGCACACACAGTAACAATAACCTTTCACAATCAGTTGCACGGGAATAACTACACACAGCTTCGGGTGGCGGAATATGGACTCGTCCGCCTTTGTGAGTGAGTGAGTGAGTGAGTATGGTTTAACGCCGCTTTTAGCAATATTCCAGCAATATCACGGCGGGGGACACCAGAAATGGGCTTCACACATTGTACCCATGTGGGGAATCGAACCCGGGTCTTCGGCGTGACGG